CAGGAATGTATTTTTTATGCTTCACTACTTTAAGAATTCTTTCAGGCCTGAATCCTTTTGCTCTTTCATAGAATAAATTCACTGGGGAATATAGACATGGAGGTGGAGACTGGAATTTCACACCTTGTGTCCCGACAACCTGATCTGATGACTTGATATACATTTATCTTTTTATTTTTCCACTCAAAAACTTGCCAAAAAAAGTAACATAATCCCTGAGGCAGGCAATTCTTTTCTTTCTTCGCTCAAGTACTGAGAGGATAAAATATTAGTGACTAACTCCAACAATGCAGTGATATATCTGCCAAATCACTAGTCCAAATAAATAAAAAATTATGCTGGTTTGGGAGGGGACATTGACATTCTACTGTTGAAATTTTAAAAGAAATTGTTTCATATCCATCAAGATATATTCTGTTAGCCAATGAAAAATACTCTTGAGTGTTAAACAAAATATAACCCCTTCCTCAAGTCAGAATTCTGAATATATAGCTAGTTAGCTAAAAGATCTCAAATAATAATAACTGGATAATTAATGTTATGAGGAAAAGTGAAATCTGGAGTAAAAACTCACTTTGCTGAACACCGTATGAATGGTTTCTAAAACTAGATTTTAAACATTTAACTTTTAGGCAAATTGAAAGAATGGTCCTTAGTACTGTATGGAACATCCATCCAGCCTTACTCACCAAGAAATGATTTTCCAAAAGTGGAAAGAGTGCGCTTTAGTCTGCTCGAAGACCCTACAGAAGATTATGGAACAGATGACTATTCAGGTACGTTCTTTGAAGTATCATTCATTTACTCTGATTGTGCATTTATTGAACATGTAATGTGTTAAAGGAGTAATTTAAGACTCTGCATATATAAAATGTTTCTGTCATAGGACTTTGTATTGTCAATATATGATCAGATATTGTCAAGATTCCTGGCTTGCTTACTTGATATGTTCCCTCTTCTACATTTTGTACCTCTTGGTCTTTTTGCATTAATTCAAGACTAGGATTCTGATCCCACAGCAGGGTCTGTGGTCTTTCTTGTCTGGGAAACAATTACATGGTGCTGAAATACTAAAATAAACTAATTAATTTATTTTAAATTAAATAACTAATATTAGTCAACCAGAAACAATATCCATAATCAATATAATGAACCTATCATGGATTTTCTCTGACTAGAAGAACAAAGTTATATTTATATTTCATTTAATTAGTTAGAATTGCAGTGGCACAACTGATCGTAATTATGCAGGATTTATAGTAATTATATATAGGAAAATTATTATTCTGAGGCTAAAACATGGTGCTGACAGAATGTCTACTAAAAAAAAGTTACATCAGGATTTTCTCATAGGGGGGTGGGAGTAGTGGGAGTTAAGTGAAATTGTTTCTTAAATTAAGATCAGAATTATTTGTTTCATTATTTAAAGCTATATATATATTTTACCCTTATGAGTTTGTAAGTATATAGTTATAGAATTTTACAGTACAGTTAACATACTATGAAGAATGCACTGGGTTTTATATATGTATGTATAAATATATATACATGCACACAAACATATATATATATATATGAATAACTATCTTATACATCTCTGCTGTTTTCAATAGAAAGCTTTTAGAAGGAAAAGAAAGCATTTGGAAGGAAGAGAGCTATTCAGGCATGCACTGGATAGGTGTCTCTCTGGTGTCCATTTCAATCATCACCACCATACTGTAGAAGGGGAAGATAGAGGAGAAAATAGGTTAACAGAAATTACAGAGTTGGGATAGATTCAGAGCCTTGGCCATTTATTGCAGGGAAAGTGAAGAGCAGGGTTTGAGTTTTAATGTAAAAGAGTGGATCCCAGCTCTAGGGAACTATGTGAATCACCTAAAGACAGTTACCTCAGCTTGCACATGTGCTATAATACCAACAATGTGTAACTTGTATCTTGTATGCTTTTGTTGTACGAAAAAACCTCATTTTACTTCAAGTTTGCCTGATGTTAAGAGGAATCTCGAGGAGGCCGGCAAACTCAAAGCATTTCATTCACCAGAGAGCAATGATCCTAAAACAGTTATGAGTTTACCCGCATGCCCTGTTCCCCATATGTAAAGGCAGGAGTCAACAGTCTTCTCCTCCCTTAGCTGGAAGGACCTATTTGAAAATTGTAAACATGAGTTTCAAGTGAGATGGAAGATTAGTCAGCTAAGGCATGTAGCACCACAGAGGAAAGCTAGTCTGGACCCTGGGGGCTGGTTCACTTTGGTTGTGGTAGCTGCTTGGACTAATTGTCACCCACTCAGTAACCAGAGTAGCTGCTAATCATGTTATTTGTCATTTATGTTGACCTGCTTGTGATGATGATGTTGCTAATCATTCCTTATTGTGAATTCCAGAAGCCTTTGAACACCTCTGAATAAAAATCAAAATTATTTGTTACTCATTAGGAAAGCATATGTTTGGATCCAGAAATAGTTTCTGATAGATTCTATAGTGGATGCCATGCTTGCTAAAATATTATAAATCACTGTGGGTAGTTACTGAGGCCCAGATCTGCAAAAGTCTTCAGATACTAAAATCCTTCTCTTTTCAGTGGAGCCAAATTACTATTTGGACTTCAGATCACATAGGGAAACAGAGTAATTGCATTCAGCATTAAAATACTGTGTTTTAAAGGGTACTAAGTACTGAATGAGAAGTGTTCCCCCCCTTCGGATTTTTGGTTTTATTATAGGTCCCTGCAATGCAGAATGCAGTAAAGTAGGGTGTGATGGGCCAGGACCAGATCATTGTATTGACTGTCTGCACTACTACTACAAATCTAAGAACAACACACGGTAGGACCAAGAGAAAAATCTTTACTTCGTAGGTTCCTTGGTGTATATCATAAATTCCTTTCCTCTTCTCTTTGTTGCAGTCATGGATAATTTGTTTTCCTCTGAATTTGACAATTTTTCTTAGGAGTTGGAAAAAAATAGCTAATCAGAATTTAAAGTACATCTTTCAAACACCCTTCCCTGATTATTTCTTCATCTCTTAATTATTTTTCATAATATATATATAACTGTGATAGCTATTACAGCTTCTGCAATTGAGTTTGTACAAGATAAGAAGAGATGTAGGTGGTTAAAAATGATACCATATGACTGTTTGACAAGGCATTTGCCAGTGAGATAGCATATGCTGTAGGAAAACAAAACAGCCTATAAGAGAAGAGGCAGATTGATGCAATGCTTGGGAGGATTACATTTTAGTAAACACGTGACCATTAGAAC